GGCTTCCAAGTTCACTAGCAGAACAATTCTAAGGTTCTCTAGGGATCCACAAAGACCTTGGATGATCTTGGCTCTGCTTTCCAGCTCAGCCTAATTCTGTGGGACTCTTGCTTTTGTTTTCTGGCTCCATGCATACTAAATACCCTTCACTGTGAAAACCACACTAATTTTGGACTTCTGCACTGGCTTTATGTATTTCTTCTGCCTGAAAATAACATTTATTCTTACTCTTTTTATGCCTGGCACCTTTAGGTCTCAACTTGAAAGACTTCCTTGATCTTCATTCCCATGTGAAATAAATTCCTCACCCAGTTCTCTCTTTTGGATGCCTACAGATTGTTCTACAGAACTTTTATTTAATTGTCATATTTATTTCTTTGTTCTTTTGCCTCTCTACCTTGCTTAGCTCTAAAGTCTATAGGGCTCTATGTTGGGTCAGTATGTATCTTTACAACCTCCCACTGCTTCTAAGACAAAGTAGCCTCTCAGTGCACACTGGTTAAACAAATGAGTCAATAAATCAATATGACAAAGTAGAAGAGAATAAAGCTTTCTATCTCTGTGGATTAGAAATGTTCATCTATGCATTTTTAAAAATATATTCTCTGTTGATATCCAATTAAGAAGGAGCATATAACACAGACTTAAGTTTTAGATTGAAATATATATAGATCATTTGCAAACACTGTAAGTACAATTTGATTTGTGTGAAATAGTCCCAGTTAACCTAAATGAATGCAAGTTTTCATGCTGACTCCTTTATTTTAAATGTTATTATAGATTTGGAATAAAGTTTTCACTTTACTCTTGTAGAGAAATATAGTTTTGCTTATTTCAAGGATTTCCTTAGGTTTAGGGTTGTAGCTCAGTGGTAGAGTGCTTGCCTAGCACATGCAAGGCTCTGAGTTCAATTTTCAACACCATACACACAAAAAGTCACAAAAAGTACGTTCAGCAAAAGTTGGCTCGTGAAAAGCGAGATGACACAAGAAATCCTCAGAAGTGGACATAACAATAGACCAGCTCCACGACTAAGGATTCAAAGATCAGGATATGAGTTGTGACCTCAACAGTTACTAGCTGTGTGGTTCTGGAGCAATTCTCGCCATCTTCATTAACAGAGAGATGATGCTTCCTGCCTATCTCTTTGTGTTTATGTGATAATCTTATTAAATATTATATATGAAAATGCTTTGAAAACTGTAGCAGACTGCACTCGTATGAAATCTTGCTTACTAAGTGAGTAAGCAGAGTAATCTTGCTTACTGTGCTTTGTTACCATTCCAAAAATGCTGTGGAAGATGATCCAAGCAACCATCTATAAATTAAGTGTTTATGATTCCAGAGTACATGCCTCCAAAGGTAAGATGTACAAATGGTGCTATAATTTGTGTGTAGATGTCCCTCTAAACCCTGTGCACTCAAGGTGGGGCCTGTGGATGGCGACTGGATTATAGGAGCACCAGAGCTGACTTGCTGTGAAGTTGTGGGCCTGGTCCAGGAGCGGGCCACTGGGGGCCTGAGCTGGAAGGGTGTATCTTTCTCTTCAACTCTTCCCTTTCCCATGGCATAAGCAGCTTTGTAGAACTTCTAAAAACTCTGAGCCAAAATAAGTTTCTCTCTCTTTAAGTTGCTGGCATATCTCAGTGACAAATAAGACCTAAAATGTAGGGCTATGCAACCACATAATAAATGAAAAAACTGTAAGAGCAAGATTTCTAAAGTGTCTCCCAGTAGTTAATACCTAGTTATGCATTTTTATTAAAACATATTACAATACTGAATGTAGGCAAGCTCAAGAAGGTATGAACTTCTAGCTTCTTTTGGAAGGGTTCACTTGTGTGCCACTTCTAAGCAGGTGCAAGCTACTTCGGGATGACAGGAACTGATTCAGCGTGATAGGAACTGATTCATCAGAGGCTGACAGAACCTCTTCCCTTCAGAAGTCCCATTGCAGCCTCTCTCCACAGGCCCCCTCCCCCTCTTCTCACCTCTTCCCCTTTCCTGCCCCAACAGGAGAATGTGAAGACAAGGGAGAGGGCATCCTGGAGGGATGAAAAGAAGAGAACCATCACAGTTCCTTTTACTTCCCCACTGCAAGCTGTGCTGCTGAGTTAAAAATATGTAATTTAGTTTCCAAATCTATTTCAACCCCTGCCTGGCCTACTGAGCAATCACAAACCATCCAATTTCAATTCAAATCTTTGCTTTTAGCTTTATTTTAAATGGAGCACAGCAAACTTGTATAAACAGATAAAAAGTAAATGTTCCACAAAGAGTAGAAGTAGGATTAAAGGAACCAGGAAGTCAATCCATATTTATAATGTACCAGTAAAAATCGGAATTGTTTTCATCTTGGTTTTAAAATGCCAAACTTTCTGGGAAGTATAAAATGTCATGGGGGAAATCAAACTTGTAGCACAAGGGAGTCTATATCAAGGGAGATTTCTTATTATTTTGGGTGGAGCACATTCACACTTTCACGTAAACAGATAATACATCTTCTGCAGGTGATAATTATTGTTCCTCTGTCACATTTAGAATACTATGAATTTACAGAATGACCCACTTCTAAAAAGTGAATCATGTCTGCAACAAATATTTATGAGCAGAGTTGCACACACACGCACATACAGCCCTAACACTGTGCTATATAGTAAATTTTTAATAATCAACTGCTAACCCTCAAAGTAGGGTAAATGCAATACATAAAGCTTTGAAAGCATCTCTGGGTGAGTAATGCAGATTACTTGGCAGTGACAAATAAGATGACTAATAACGCCCTGGAGAGAGATAGCTGTATTACAGTTCCCCAGAATCCAGTAATGGCTTGCACAGATTATTTGCACTCATTTTATTGTCTGTGTAATGGGACACAGTGCGTGGTAAAAAAGATTCATCTACTATGGGTCCTCTGTCCTTTTGAATTATAATTTGCTTTATAATCAAATGGGCAAACATTATTTTAACTTTCAACATTTAATAATCAAACCGTATAGTTCCAGTTATAACTTTTCCCTTTCATTTATGTTCAGGAATATCAATCTTCCGATGAATATTTAAACTACATTGGAGTTGATGTTTTGCAAAACAATTTTTTTCTTGAAATGTCAGGCTTAAAATCTCTCTGGGCAGTTAAATCTTCTTTTATTGATATAGTCTTAAATGGTATCATAGCATCTGCAACATTCCCCATAAAACTATTTTTTGATCTAACATGACAATCTCCCAGTCACTCAAAGACGATCATGCACTGACAAATGACTCACGCCTCTAATGAAGAATCTTTCCAGGTTTGCATGAGAGGAAGTGCAGTGTGTGCACCCTAACCCCACAGCGGCAATTCCCATCCATCTTCATCACTGTCAACTCAGAAATACTTTTTACCTCAGTGGCGTCCCATAACCTTTGCAATAAAATCCAGAATAAAATGGTTTGGAACTCAGAACATAGGATCCCAGGCTATCATTAATACTCTACATATCCCCGTCTAGAGCCTTTCTCATCCCAGTGTCCTTATCTCTTAAATGAGAAAAAGGACACTAGATAGGCATATAGAATGATCGGTTCTACTTTGTCAAACTCTTATTTTGCGTTCAGTGGCTCCTCCTAACCTGGACTCCATTTCTTCTACCTGGTAAGATGCTGCCTTGCTCCCTACTCGCTAACCTCTTCCATTCTCCCCCTCTCTCCCCTTATACACATCCTCCACAGGAAGTGTATCGTTTCCTTGCTTCCAATACTATATAATACTCATCACGTCACATAATACCTGACACCATCCTGATCTATGTGGTTGTGTCTTCAAATACACAACCCAATCTGGGTTCACAGTTTGCTCCTGCCTTTCACACACTGTCAAGTTGATCAGTTTATTTAACTTTCCAAGCCTTGATTTCTTCATTTGTAAAAAGAGGAATGCAATGGCTTTCTTTTGGACTTGTAAGAGTTTGAGTAATGCCTGTGAAATGACAGGTTTAAATAAAAATTTGGTGTAATAAAAATATTAGTGGTTGTCATTGTTAGTACTACTGATCTTCCAAGAATATCAACTCCTTCAAGATAGCGTCTGTCTATGTTTTATTTTCACTTCATTTGCTGGAAATGAGAAAAATCAGTGTGGTGGGAGTAACAGGGACTTTACCATCAGAGGATGCGGACCAATCCTACTAGTAGGATCCTAGCAAATCATTTGTCCTTACTGAACTAATTGAGAGGCTGTTTGGGGTGAAGAAGTATATCTCAAAATTTCTGTGAACTTAGTGCCTAGTACAAAGCTTGCCACATGGGTTCTATTATAGATGCAAAGGAAATATGAATAGGAGAGCAACAGTACTGGTAATGAATGGTTCTTTGTTAGGTCCTTTGTAAATGTTTGTTGAAAGAAGAGATGAAGCTGAACACTTGGACTCCAAAGGCCTAGGAGGGAAACGAATGCCACCCTCCAAAGAAACTGAAACAGAACAGAACAGGAAAGGTCTGGGTTTCCTAGCAGGGCAGGCAGCTTCGTGCCCCAGATTCATGTCCTAGGTACAGCTTTTGGCAGGCCGAACTCTTGGCTGAGGAAGGGACACGTGGAAGGACAGAGGAGTTCAGACCAGCTGCCTCCAGTGCACCCAGCTCTGGGCGGAGTGGCCACATTAAGGAAAACTCCATTCTGAAGGCTCAGGGCAGCAGGCTGGCAGCGGCTAAGCACCCAGTTCCCATTTTTGACTCTGCCTCCTCCCCATCCTCCCCCACCCTGCAGTCAGGTCCCGGGAGGTAATTAGTGTGGGGGAGAGGCAAAGCTCCTGAGGGGGCAGGGAGATGGGAGAGTATGGGTGGGGGCGGTCTTCTTGTCATAGGTCTCGGTAACAGCGCCAGGAGAGAGGAAGCCAGGGAAGAGGGGAAGGAAGAGTTCATTTCTGCAAGCAAGGTATACCTAAAGGTATTCCCACAGACAGACAGGTGGACCAGAGAGGGACAGACAGGACACACTCGTGCGTTTGAAGCAGTCCTACCCCCAAATCCAGGACGCAGCCTGTTGTCATAACCATCGAGCAAACTGTCCAGGATGCGGGTAAAATTTTCCGGGCACAATTTCTCCTCCTTTTCGTTCTGTCCTGGGGATTCGTTTAAACTGTAAGTGCACAAAAAAAAAAAAAAAAAAACGGAAGCAGGCGGAAAGGATTATTTTAAGAAAGCATTTAAGAACAGGTGGAACCAGGTTTGCCTTCTAGGGAAAGAGTCCTTAGCCCCAAGCTGGAGGCAGCATTAGGGGGAGAGGGGAGGCGAAAGACCAAAATGGTCATGAAAAGCGCCTTCCCCAGCCGGGCTGCATGCACCCCAGTACCCACAGGCGTCTTGTGCTCTGCATGGTCACAGCAAACCTTGGCTTCAGCCCATAATTTTATAGAGAAAATAGGAAGGTCTGCTTCGTTCCGGGAGGGATGGGGTGGTCAGAAGGGGCGGGGAGCTGGCCACTTCTCCACCTTCCCTACGCCCCCCTAGGACCCCAGAGAACTCACCAAGCGGCCAGGCACAGTACGCGCAGGAGGGCGAAACTGACCCCGAGGCACAGCGCGATCGAGGGTACCTTCTTGGCAGAAACCATCTTTGCAACATGCCATACTTTAAGCCTGTTCACGGTTCCAGGCTCTCAAGATGCCCTGAGTAGGGTGCGAGGTGAGGGCAGAGCGGCTCCCGCGGCGTGCGCACACTCGCGCTCACACTCGCCCGCGCTCACACTCGCCCGCGCTCCAACAGCCCGAGCGCGGTGGGCGTGTGTATGCGCGCGGGCCAGGGGAGGCGGAACCTGCCTCTCCTCGCCCCCTCCTTTTCTCACTCGCGTTCTGTGTGTATGTAGAGCTCTGTATACCGCTCCGCACCCTTTCGTGCCCGCGCCCGCCAGGGTCTAGTGTTAACTCCGGCGCGCCTGCGCCTCAAAGCTGGGCAAGTTTGTTCCAACCTGTAACTCCGCGCACCAGGACCTAGATCCTTCGGCCCTCCTGCCCGTCACCGCCCCCAGCCCCAAAGACATCCCCGGTCTCTGCAGCGCTAGGCTTCCCGGTCTACCTCCTGCGCCCTCCCTTCCGGATCTCACCAGTGGAGTTCCTCTCTTGTTGGTTGTGTGAGAACCTGTTTGTACCCATCGTCAGGGCTGGACTTGCAGAAACGGTAGGGCAGGATCGCTGGGCTTAGGGGCGGGGGCACTGGTGAGGAGATGAGGTCAAGTCTGAGACCCTTTCCTTAAGCTGCTAAGAGATGGGGGGCTTGCAATGACAGAAGAGACTTCTCTCGGTTACAGGGGTTACAACTCACTAGGAGGAATGGCCAAACTGTTAGAAAGTGAGCTCCAGCCCTACCCTGCAATCAAGGCATTTGCCAAGCTATTGCCTTAAAGATGCCAAATTTCTTCCTCTCCCCACCCGCACCCAGCACAGGTTCCTGCTCCATGGTTTTCTAGACGGGAGGAGAAAGACAAAGGTAGCATGCCTCGGGTCAAAATCACTTTCACTTCTTGAAACCCACTTTTCTCTCAGAATGCAAGTGATTGACTCTCTGAAGCCACACTGTAGGGAGAGGATGGCTTCGCACAGGCCGAGGAGGAAGGAGCAAGAAAAATGTGAGAGTGGGGGAAAAATACATAGACTAAAATGGAAGGAGCAAATCTCCATTTATGAGTCAAGGGAAGACTGAACACTTCATGTAGTGTTTTATAGAGCAAAGATGAGTACTTCCAGGAGAACTTTTTAAACCTTAATTACTGGCTTCAATGGATGGAGCATCTTTCACATGAATACTTAAGCATGCGGAAATTTTCCTCGGACGGGTCAGTGATGTAAGTCATTTCCATGATGATAGAGCCCTAGAACCGGACACCAATTACTCTCTTCTGTTTAGAGCCTTAATGATTTGTTCAGATTTTAATGATCAGTTGACTGCTGCAGCATGCAAATATTACCTTAGAGAAGAGTTTTGAAGCTTTGTTTGCTTTCATCTCCTGACTGAAGTTCTCTTTCAAAAAAGGAAGCCCAAAGTGTCCATAGCTATAATAGTGGGAGCTATGTGCTCTAATAATATTCTACGTTCTGTATTGCTGCCTTCATAAAATTTATTATACTTCATCCTAATCCCATCTGCAACATTCTACTCTTACAGACTGCAACCTTCTTGAGCCTAAAACTTGGTAATTTTTGTTCATCTGTATTTATGTCTTTTTACAATGTATATGGCACATGGTATGTTCACAATTATTTACTGAATAAACAATTAAATCAATGAATCACTTGCTCTCAGATCCATCTTATTAATTCTAATGAAATCCAACTTCTCTCTTTTGGGAAAAACAATTGAAGTACTAATGCCCACAAACATGCCAGCCAAGCACTTGTCCTTACAAGTTCTCCTCATGAAATCTCATAATACATTATATTATTATGATATATCAAATATTATTTCTCCAATCTTAATGCTTTCCTATCTTTTCTAAAACTGACAATTTTCCCTACAATTTCCATTTAAATAGTATATGTATAAAAAACAACCAAGAACAACCGAGGAAAGAAGAAATTCCATATTTTAAAAATAAATACGTTTAAAATTTCAATTTGAAATATGTGAAACTAATCCCTTGAAATAAAAGAGTGCATTTCTCCCAGTGAGGCTATTTCCAAATATATTACTGTTAACTGACATCTTATTTAAAGTCAGGTGATGGTAATATTGAAGGCATCATATGTCGTTTTACTTTCACAGCATTCATACAGTAATAATTTGTATTATTTAAGGAAGTTATATGTTGCATTTTTCTGCCAGCAAATCATGTTGCCTGCCAATGTAAGTTTACTTTAAAATAAAATGCACACTCAAAAAAATTTCAGTTTGCTTTAAATTTTAAAAAAAATCACTAAATATGCCACTGTTTCCTTTATAACCACCTATTCATGTCCAGGATTGCAGTTTATCTGAGTGTCTGTAGAGTGGTGCAGATACATGAATGTGTTAAAATACTTACATTATCTTCAATAAGTCTTTGATTATTTTATCTAGTCAAATTTGAACTGGACCCAAGTGTATTACCTCCAGGTGTTGTGTTATATAAGTCACATTTTAAAAATTTAATAATTCAGAGGTTCATCTCTGATTTGGTGGGATACAAAGATCAGATCACTTTACCACTAAAGTCTTAGCATGGACATATCAGAGTTCATAATGCCTAAGAAATAAATGAAGCACAGGCTCTTCTAACTATGCTCATTTTTTTTGTAGGACTGTTCATGCCTTTCATCAGATTTTTAAAAACTATGGACAACTATAGTACCCATTAAGGTTTTAATGCAATAGATGATGCATAGAATGAAACATACAAGCAAGTGAACAAGTATTTTTAAGTGATATATGATAAACATCTCAACTCCAACTTATAAGCTTCTCCACAGGTTCTATAAGCTATTTTGTAAAATATAAGTATGTTTTGTGGGTAGTCAGTCCCATTTATTTTCAATTTATCAAATATACAGTTAGTGTGGTAAATAAAATTTAGAGTGGTAATATATTGAACAGGAAAAGGTTCAACCTGTTCCTGTGTATATTTGGTAAATACTAAACCAGTTTTAATAATTAGAAGAAAATAATGATGTGAGTTACTCCTTTAAATTCTGAAGGCTTGTGGATATAGAGCCAGTTTAAAATATTTTTGTTCCAAACATATAGTAGTTATTGATTATTTTATGCTGATTCATTTCTCTGTCACATTTATTTATAATGGAGAATTGATTTGATGCCTTCTAGTTATTCATTTCCTTATTTGTATTAAAATACTTCACTGAAATGTTACTGGTGTGCCAGCCTATTCTCTTATCATTGTCTAGTTATTCAATTTTATGTCCATTTGTTTTTATTGTATATGTGTGATATACAATAGAATGTTTTTCTATGCACATATATATAACAAAATTTCTATGAAAGTCAAACAAATTAGCATAAATTGGCTTACATAATTAATTATTCAGCTTTCCCAGTGCTAGTACTAGAAGCTGACACCAGCAACTTAAAGGAGAGATTTCATTTGGCTCAACATTTAAGAGGCTTTAGTCCATGGTGAGTTGCTTTTAGGCCTATGACAAGGGAGAAAGATCATAGTGGAAGGTCACAGCATGGGAAATATGCCTACTCCATGGCAGCCAAAGTGGAGGGAGAGAGAGAATAACAGGGAGGGGGGATCATTTTTCTTGTTTTTTTTTTTTTAACTAGAAATATCATATCAGAAGGGCATGGAGGAGCAAGGCTGCTCATTTCTTGGTAGCAAGTAGACAATAGGGTAGTGATAAACATACTCTCCAAAAGCACTCCCCCAGTGACCATTGTCCTCCAACTGGGCCCCGATGCTAACAGAAGATTTGTCAATGAGCACCAGTGAATTAATCTTCTTATTAGTTTTGTTACCCCATGATCCAATAACTTCTCTAATAAATCCAGCCATGCTGACAATTAACTGGCACAATTACCTTTGTGTGTATATACTAAGAGCACCTGAAATTTTCACTGTTAGCAAGTAAATGTTCAGGATGTGATACAATAGTATTAACACTGTCACCGTGTTGAGCATTAGATCTGCAAATTTATTCATCATACGCAGCAGTGAAGCTTGTACCTTAACCAAATCAACATTTCCTTATTCCATCCCACTCTGTATCCTACTTATTGAAACTGCTAATCTCTACTTGAATGTTTGCCAGTTAGGATGCAGTTTCTCCTTGATTGGTTTTGATATCCATCCTAGGGACTGATGGAGTACCCTTTCAGGTATGTCTAGGAGGGTCATAGAGGTGAGCCCTTGGTATTTATGTCTAGCCTCTCACCCCTTCTGCTCTGGCACATCTCCTGTCTCCTGTTCTGCTTCCTGGCCACCATGAACTAAGCATCTTTGCTCTACCATGACCTTTTCTTATGATGTTTTTGCTGTGAAGATAGCCAAACCGACTGAACCATGAGCCAACTTAAACCTCTCTTCCTTTGAATTGTGGGTAGCAGATATTGTGTCTAGTAGTGGGAAAACTAATAGAGAAACTAATTAGTACTAGAGAAGTGGAGCCAATGCTGTGACTGACTGTACCTATCTGTGTGATTCAGAAGCCTTTGGAGTAGTTTGGAGAATTCTGGGCATGTGGGAGACATGGGTGCTGCAAGCAAGCTTGTTGAGGAATTCTGGTCAAAGCTCAGAAGACCAGAACGTTAATTGAAATATAAATAGCGAAGTCCATGCCCAGGATGATTCAGTTGGGAACAAGTACTCCATTGGAAGTTAAACTAGTAACCATGTATGTTATATTCTGGCAGAAAATTTGTCTACATTTTGCCCATGTCCTGACACGTTAGGGATGGAGATTAAAGGTGGTGGATTAGTTAATCTTGCAAAGGAAATTTCAAGACCGCCTAACATTCAGGCTGTGGCAAGGGTACTACTGACTGCTGTTATCCAGATTTACAGTGGTAATTGGAGCAAAAGGCAGAGTAGGAACTTTTTAAAAACTTAAAATTTTAGCCCAGAATGAATAGCATGTAAGGTTGGAATGAGAGGAGATGTTGTTGTAAAGTATTTGTACCATGAAAAAGAAACTAAGTGCTTTGTAGAGGAACAAAAAGAAATGTTTTTAGATCATATCAGAAATCATTGAGACCCCACCCATTGCAGGCTCATGGGTGTGAAACTGTCAATATTTAATTTTAAAAAATTCTTTTGTACGCCTGCTTGAGAAAGGCC